CTGCCTCCATCCGCCTCGGCGAACTCCTCTGCGACCAGAGAGGGACGTCAATCAGCTGGGGTGGGGGTGAGGGTGGCCCTGGCTCTGCTGCCCTCAGGGACCTCAGGGGCCCACAATGACCCCTCCAACAGCAAGACCCCAGATGCCCAGGCAACGTCTTTGAATCTTTCTCCCCCAAAAGGCTCAGGGTAGTGTGGTCCTTGCCGGGGGAGTGACCTCCAACCCCAGGGACCAGCCATCCCCCTTTCCAAGAATGCCTCCTACCCGGGCTCCGGAGCCCTGCCCTCCCCCTTTGCCCTGGTCCTTCTCCACTTTGGCAGGGACTCCCCCCCCCTTCTTCAAGCACCCACACCCTTACCCATCTCGTTGAGGCTGGCAAAACCAGGGGCGATGGGTGTGTGTTTGGGGGATTTTCCCAGGTTGGGGGCACTTGATGACCACTGTTTGCTCCCTTCCCCCAGAGTCTTCAGCCTGCAGCAGGCAGGGGGAGATGGGGGCGGTCAGCCATGGCTGCCTGGCCCAGGATGGGCACAGGGGCCCTGAGCCCGGCAAGGCCCATACCTCTCCTCTCCTCCAGCTCTCTCCTTCTGCAGGGTGGAGCTGGGTCCCCATGTCCGGCCTTTCTTCTTGCCTCCAACTAGTTCTTCCTTCTTTGGGGGCCCACTGCGGCCCCATGTCCCACTGCCACCACTGCTGCTGCCACCACCACAGTCCACAGGAGTCACTGGGTCAAGAAAAGCCACTTGGTTACTGGGTCTTAGAAACTCAGTCCCAACCTCTAACCTCCAAACCATTCCCCCCTGGAGCCTGAGGCTCTTTCCCACCCCAGTGCGACACTCCCTGCTGTAATCTTTGCAGGTCTCCCCCCTTCTGTGGGGACCTAGCTGCTCTCCACCATCTTCAAGGGGTTAGATCGCTGGACCCTGGGCTGTTCTCTTCCCTGTCCATCCCACTCTGAATGTACCAACACTAGTATTTGCGACTACTATGGTTGTCTCTGCGTCCCCTGCTAGCGTGACCTTCCGGGATTATTATGAATCTGGTGTCCAAAGACAGGCATGCAGAGAGACTGCAGGCTGGGGCAAGGCCGGGGAGCATCATAGGTGGGACAGACTCAGGAGTCAGCTTTGCATTCATCAACTACTCTGACATGTGACCTGGACTGTGAACATCGGTTCCTTCCGAGTCCCCTACCCAGGTCTAGTCCCTGTCATCTCAATGGCCTCTCTGCCTTTATTCCTCACAGTAGCCAGTGGAAAGAGGTTAATCTGATCACATCAAGCCTTGCTCACAGTCCGCTGTGGCCTTCCTGATGTTGGGGTTGGCAGCAGACCTTAGAGGTGGAGCGTGTGCTTAGCATGTGTGACTCTAGGTTTGATCCTTAGCACTGGGGGAAAAAGTCAAATTCTTTACCTTGGATCTCAAGGCCTTGTATGATCTGGTCCCTGGGAGCCCCTTGACCACTGAACTAATGCTGTCCCTCCCATTCCCTCTATCCGGGCCAAATTGGCCTTCTCCCCCCACCCTCCAGTACTAGAGCCTGAACTGAACTACACCCCAACCCTTTTATTTTTTGAGACAGGGTTTGGCTAAATTGCCGAGGGCCTCCCTAAGTCACTGAGGCTGGCCTTGAACTTTCAACTCTACTGCCTCAGCCTCCTGAGTGGCTGGGATTACAGGTGTGCACCACCCTGACAGGCTTCAGCCATGTTGGCCTCTGGTCTGGTAATACTCCAGGCTTGTTCCGGCTTTTCGTGTTTGCAGTTCCCTCTGTTTCCTCAGATTAGCGCATGTCTCATTTCTTCCATGAAGGGCCTATTCAGACCTCACCTCCTCAGACAGACTTTCCTTCTCTGATGGCTAATTTTACGTGTCAACTTGACGAGACCAGGCTAAGAGCTGCCAGGAGAGCTGCAGATGCGATTTCTGGGTGTGCCTTGATAGGGTTTCTGGGAAAGTTGCTAGCATTTGAATGGGTAAACAGAGTAAAGATGCCTTCACCAAAGTAGGTGGGCCTCACCCAATCCCTTGGGGGGCTGGGCTGAACAGAAAGGCAGAAGAAGGTGCTCTCTCTGCTTGAGCCGGGACATCCATCTCCTGCCCTTGGACGTGGAGCTTTTGATTGGCAGGCCTTTGGACGTGGACTGGAAGCCCAGCACTAGCTTTCCTGGAAGCCATCTTGCAAACAGAAGATTAGGGACCTTCCTAGCCTCCATAATCCTGGGAGACAATCCCTAATTTTCTATCTATATATCTAAAGACATCCTATTGATTCCATATCTCTGTAGCACCCTAATACATCTCCTCTTTTGTCTTTTTGGTACTGGGGATGGAAATCGTGCATCCTAAGCATGGGCTTTAACTCTGAGCTACACTCCCAGCCCCAGAGTCTTCTCTTATATTTTCTTTCCTAATTTCTACTGGAAATTATTCAGCTTATTGATTGGTTGTCTGTTTCCCCCTGATGAGAATGAGGGAAGTGATCTTGCCTGTTATTCCTTTGGCCTGGTGCCAGGTCTATGCTCAGAGGTGTTGTTGACTGACTGGCTGACTGACGGGGCCTTGCAGATACTCACGGCGAATGGCCCTCAGTCTTGGGATGATGCTGGGGCTGGCAGGGGGACTGGCCCCATCGGATCCTTTCCGCTTGTCCAGGGTAGGAGAGGCCTGGACTGTGATCTTATGCTCGAAGCCTGCAAAATGAAGAGACTTTCCTAAGCAAATGGTTCTCTGGTAACAGAAGGGAAGTTTCCTTGTAGAAGTACAGTAGGAATGACAGCATGGGAACACCACTGTCTGTCATTCCCTAACACCACATCTGTCATTCCTACTGCAGTGGTTCTAACATGCAGGCCAGACCAGCAGTACCACCAGCAGCTGAAAGCCTCTTGGAAATGCAAATACGCCCTCTCTTCCTTGATTAGCAACGTGGGGGTGAGGCTTAGATCTTCACATGTTGGGCTAAGGATCTAGGTCCAGGGGTCCAAGATGGTAGCCATCGGCTCCATCAAAGGGGCACTTGAAACATGGTTGGTGCAACTAAAGAACTGGAGTTTAACCTTCATTTATCTAACTATAATTAAGTTTAAATTTAAAAACAAACACTTAATTTGGTCATTGGAGACAAAAGCATGTTTAGAACAACCTGGGTATGTGAATCTAGTTTTTCCAATTCTCAATTTTATGAAATCTAAATGCAGACAATTTTTTGGGGGGTGGTGCTGGGACTGGAGCCCAGGGTCTTGCAGGCAAGGGCTTTACCACTGAGTGACATTTCTAGCCCCCAGATGAAAAATACTTTTGTGTGTGTGGTTGTAGGGATTTAACCAAGGGGTGCTCTACTACTGAGCTATATCCTGAGCCCTTTTATATTTTTATTTTGAGATAGGTTCTCATCAAGTTGCCCAGGCTAGCCTTGACCTTGCACTCCTCCTGCCTTAGTCTACACAGCTGCTAGGATTACAGGTGTGAGCCACTGCAGCCAGCCCCAGATTAAAATTTTTAATGAAAATTTACCAACCAGCTTGAGATGTGCTATACATATTAAAAACACAATGTATTTCAAAGATTTAGTGTAAAAAAGAGAAAGTAAGCTATCTCAATTTTGGGGTACTGGTTACATGGATGTATTAAAGCTATTGATCATCACCTGTTTCTTTTTACTTTTTAATGTGGCTGCTAGAAAGTTTAAGATAACACACTTGGCCACATTTCCATAGGCTGCTGCTGCCACAGGGTTGGCTCTATGGCTTATAATATCACAGAGAGAACCAACCAGACATGATGCATTATGTGCTTTCTGATGGGTGGACACATTATCTGGGAGCCAGACTTTGGGGAAAAGTTAAAAAACAGAAGAGAGCTGGGGATGCAGCTCAGCGGTAGAGTGCTGGCCTGGCTTGCTGGAGGCCCTGGGTTCCATCTAAATCACAGCAATCAATCAATCAATCAATTAATCAAGGGAAGAGTTAAACCCTGAGTTAGAGACAGTCCCAAGGCCCCTCGGAGGATGCTCAAGGAACGGGGTGTACCGGAGGGCAGGCTGATGTGGCTGCTGCCTTCCCGCAGCTTGAGCAGGCGGCTGCGCTTGAAATTGCCCTTGCGTTTGCGGACCCGGGGCTTTTCCTGGCTCAGCTGGCACATGAGCAGGTGCAGCTCCCGCTCCACGATGTCCATCTCACGCTCCGCCAGCTCCTGCTCCCGCCTCCGAAGCTGCTCCTCCTGGAAGCGCTGCTCCTGCGCTGCACGTAGCAGCTCCTCCTCGCGGCTGCGGAGCTCCTGCGGGAGACAGGGAGACGCAGAGGCTGGGGAGGGGCTGAGCCACTCTGCCCCAGGCGGCGGCCGCTGGGTCTTCGAGGTGCTCAGCACAAGGGCACCTGGCTGTGAGGCACACTGGGTTCACACTCCAACTCACACTTTGCGAGCCAAGCTGGGCGCCAGGGCAGGGCGTGTGTTAGCTCAAGAAAGGGCTGCCTCCCGCACATGCCCGCCCCTTTCTTTTTAATCTCTTCAATTTGTAAAATTTCAAACATCCACAAAAGCAGAGAATAGTGCACCCCATCTACCCATCATCCAACCTCAACAATCATCTGTACTTTGCCAATCTCAGTCGCCCTCTCTGCAGTTTTGCTGTATATTTAAAGCCAGTTCCAGACACCATGCATATCACCTGCAGGTACTCAGCACAGGGGGCTCTTTCTTACTAATCCACCAGCAGAGGCTGTCTTTTCTTAATATGCAAAAGACCCTGCATGGACCCAAAGGCTGGGGTTCAGGGAGCCGGGCTGAGGCACCAGAGGCACCAGAACTCATGGATCCTGTGCCACCCCCCACCTTGCCCTCTCCTTCACCTTCTCCTTGGTGCGAAGGTCATCAAACATGTGCTGAATCTCCAGCTTCCAGTCCTCCTGCAGGGAGTGGAAGGACTCCAGCGGCATCTGGAACAGGGCTGACTGCTCTATGACTTCCAGCCGCTTCAAGATGCTGCCAAAATCTGGCCGCCCATGTGGGTCTGGGTCCCAGCATTCTGGGGTGGGAGGGGGATGGCTTGTCAGCAGTCACGCTGGGGGAACTGGGCTGCTCAGAGGAAGGCAGGGCTTCTAGGGACTGTGGACAAACAGCTCCCATGTTTGTCCCTTTGGCTAAAGGGAAGGACTCCAAGCTAAGCTTCCGGCACATCTCAGACACTGGGAGAGGAGCGCCGGGCCTGCTCCCTATGGGGGGCCCTTGGTGGAATTAAGGATGGGATTGGGCAGGAACCCCAGGGCCAGTGGATCCTGACAGGATGCCCTCAAGGGCTCTGGCCTGCAGAAGGTCTAGGGAAGCAAGGAGCGGGCTGCTGGGAATGTCTGCAGCCATAGCCCCTGTGTTCCAGCACCTTCTCCCTCACGCCTGGGCCCACAGGTGTTGGGCAGGTATGAAGGGGACAGAACTGGGCTCAAGGGCCCCTGCCACCCAAAGCTTAGCCTACCCTCTCCATGGGGCCCTGGCTCACCCTCCAGTAGGCGGGCAAAGGGCTCGGGGCAGGTGGAGGGGATGGGCAGCGTCAGCTTGTTCATAGCCACGCCATATGCCACGGCCAAGGCGTCGATTTCCCGGTAGGGGACCTCACCCGTCAGCAGCTCCCAGAGCAGCACCCCGAAGCTGCAGGTGGGGGAGAGGAGGGGTTATGCTGCAGCCTACCCAATCCTCACCTACACAGCCCTACCCCATGGGGCCTCCCTCACCCCAACATCCAGCCCAGCAGATGGGGGCCACAAGAACCTGCTCTGACCCTGCGGGGACCTTTCTCTGACAGACGGTGGGTTGTCCTCTGATGTCTCCCCTTGGCTCTGCCTCTTGTCCCTTGCCTGCCTGGACACCTCTGGGCCTCCCATCCTGCTGGGCAAACTCATCCTCCTCTGGTGACCCCTGCAGCCTCACCTCTAAACACTCCTGGACCCCATTCCAACCCTAGCTTCCTCTTGCAGCCACAGGGAACCCGAGTACGACCTGCTCTTCCCACCTCTGGCCTCGCACATGCCATCCCCTTTGTCAAGAATGCTCTTTCTTCTGTGTCACTGTCCTTCAAGTGCTAACTGGGCTGCCCCCTCTGCCAGGAAGCCTTTCTTGATCCCACAGCCTTCAGTGTGAGGTGGAGGTCCCTCTCTATGTTCCCCTAGAGCCCACAGCACTTACCTCTAACAACAAGGAAACACTATTTTACACTTATAGAGCACCTGCTCCAGGCCAGGCACTGTGCTAGGCACTCTCGGTAATCCTCACAACAGCCCTGTAAGGCAGAAGGCATCGGTATGACCCCTATTTTATCTGATGAGCAGGCACAGTCTCAGAGAGGTTAAGCTGCTTGCCCAAGGTCACACAGCTATAAGTGACGGAGCCTCACATGAACTCAGGGCTACCTGATGCCCACCACAGAGCCTCTGGTGCTACACAATATCGGAGTGGGCCTCACTGGCTGTGTGTTTGTCTTCCTCAGTGAACTGTTCATTCTCCTCCATCCTGATCACTTCTCTGTGCAGTTTCTAACTTGGGAGTGGATCCCGGTATCCACTCATGCATTTCTTTCTTTCTTTTGGATACTGGGGACGGAGCCAAGGGGCACTTTACCACTGAGCTACATCCCCAGATCCTTTTTAAATCTTGAGACACAACAGTGCCTTTGGTGGCTACACAATAAGTTGCTGAGGTTCACTCAATATTTTTATTAAGTGAAACTGTGTGCTGGGCACTGTTCTAGGCACCAGGACAGGACAGACCTCGCTGCAGCCGACAGCACCGGTGAATTTGAACTGGGTGTTGCTGCCTGAAGACATGTTCTGTCCCCCTTCGTAGCTGAGTGTGTCCAGAGGGCTACTGTGCTGCACAGTGGAATGAGGTATGTGGAGGGCAGTGAGCTTCCAGCAAGTGGCCTTAAAGAAAAGGGGCGCCCTTCCCTCGTTTCTTCTTCTCCCTGGTTGGAATGTGGACAATAAAAGCTGGGGCTCGAGCAGCCATTCTGGATTGTGAAGTGAACTTGGGAATGGAGGCCGCCCAAGGTGGGGAAAATAGCTCTGGTTTCCACCTGGAGGTGGTGTCATGCCCCCTCTCCCATGTACGTGGGAACCTGTGAGGTCGTTTTGAGTGTCACAATAGATGGAGAGCGTTACTGATGTTTGGTGGCTGGGAGCCGTGGATATCTAGTGTCCTGAAAAGTATGGGATAGGACCACACGAGGAAGAAGTAACCTGCGCCACACTGAGGAGCCAACCCAGGAGCCTGGAGCTTCCCATAAGAACCAGAACTTCAGCCTCGCTCCTGTGGTTCCCTCCCTGCGGCTGAAGGAGCTGTCTGGTGCCTGGTTAGGCCAGCCGGGCTGCTCCCAAGGCCTGCTCTCTCCAGGCTGGGCCCAAGACCTCTTGTCTGATTTGGGTTTTCCCCAAGTCCATTAATTTGCTGTTTGGGCAACCTGGAGCCTCGGCTGGGCCCTGAGGGGACAGTCAATGAGGGGACTCTGGGTTTGGCTCCAACTAGGTAGAAGGCCTGGGTTGAAAAGCTTCTGTGCCACCACCGGCGCTCACTGTTCCTGAGACCCACTCTCCACCCCGCAGCCCAGGGAGCTGCTCAAGTGCTAAGGTGGATCACGTCACTCATAAATGCCCTGATGCATTGCTCCGCACTGACTCAGACCCAAGGCATCCTTCCCGCACAGGCTGCCCGCCACCCGGCTTCCACACGCTCTGTTCCGGCCACACAGGTTCCTGCCTGTTTCTGGAACACACTATGCTCATTTGCCCCTTAGCACCTCCCTTGTGGCACCCAGACTTTGCGTGGCTGGCTCCTTGTCATTGAGAACTCAGCTAAAGCAGCAGTTCTCAGAAAAGCCTTCTCGAAGCGCCTCCCTCCTGGCTGCTCACGCCCCCTAACGCTCCTCTTTACTATCCTTTAGATGATCATTTTCTTAACTTAAAGACAGCCTTTATTCTTTTAGTTTCTTGTGTATTTTTGAAAGAGTTACTAGCCCTGAGGGCAGCCACACTACTTTTGTTGACTGCTGTGTCCCTAGAGCCCGGGCCACTACAAAGCCAATGAATGAACAGTGGCCTCCATTTCCTGTCTAATGGGCTGGCACCGGCTGCCGTCTGAGGGCTCTCAGGGCTGACTTTCTGCCTCTCTATAATTTGAAGTTTGTGTTCTGCATCTCTCAGGCTGCCCCTACATAAGTCCTCTTTAAAAAAATCTACATCTGACCACATTGCTCCCTGCTTAAAACCCCCAAATGACTTCCGTTACATGGAATAAAAAATCCAAGGTCTCTCTTCAGGGGCCACCTCTGCTGCCAGCACAGGTGACTGCTTGGCCTGTTTGGTGCTGTGCTAATGGGCAGGAGGGCCCCTGTGCCAGGCCCTGTGCTTCATCAGGAAACTGTCCCTCCCACAGCACCCTCCCCTGTCCCACCACCACTTCCCTGATGCCACCCAGCCCGCCTCTCAGCACCTCCAGACATCGCTGCTTTTGGAGAAGAGGGAGAGACGGATAACCTCCGGGGCCATCCAGGCGTAGGTCCCAGCGGCGCTCATTTTGGTGGTCTTGTGCCACTCCCGGGCGAGGCCGAAGTCTGTGATCTTGAGCACCGTGTCTGCGAGGTTGTGGTTCTCAATGGCCTCCAGGATAAGGACTGGGGAGCAGGAAGAAAGCTGGGTCACCCGACCTGTGGGGCTGCAGGCCTGAGACTCCTGGCCCTTGGTGTGGCTCTCCCTTCTCTCTCCAGAGGCCCCACTCTGTGGCAGCTGCTTGTTGGGCTGCGGTCCCCCAACCCCTACAGTCCCTCCTTGCAGACTATGCCAAAGGCCAAGCCTTGGTTCCCTTTGGTCCCAACCTTGACTTCTAACCAGACTGAAAGTGGCACTGCAAACCATGTGCAGAAGAGAGGAATATGGTCTCCTACAATAGGTCCCCAATGCCACCCTTTCTGAGTCCACACTCTGCTATGTGACTATGCAGTTCTTTCTACCAAATGAGGCAGACTGTGTTTTCCTATTCTTTGTGGGACAGTCTTAAGGTCATGTATGTTTTTGATAAGAACAAAGAGGACACAGCAGGGTGCCAGTTCCAAACCTAGGCCTTAGAGACTTGGGTGTCTGCTTGCCCTCTGGCACTTTTGCCATCACCGTGACAGCATGCCTCAGCTGGCCTGTTGGTTCAAGGAAGATGGGAGATACTTGGAGCAAAACCTCTCCAGCTGACCCAAGAGCGCTCCAGCTGGCTGGCAAAGGCATGGACAGTAATAGGTGGTTGTTCTTTCAAGACACCAAGTTTTTGGGGTGGTTTGTTATGCAGCAGCATTGAGAAAATCTGACTGATACAATCCTAAGCATGTGGAATGGTTCCAGCTGACCCACACCTAGGGTTATTCCTAACAACAATAAGTCATGGATCCGCTTGCACTAGGCTGAGTCCTTTATGAGAACTGACTCACAAGCAACCTGTTTTTTTGTCTAGCAAACTGAGGCTTAGAGAGTCACTTTGCCAAAAGCATATAGCTAGAAAATGGTCTCCCTTCTTTGCTCTCCTGTTTGTGAAGCCCCACGAATGAGGGAACTCCTCCTGGGCTTATACTTTATTTCTGCATCTCTCAGGCTGGCCCTAAATAAGTCCTCTTTAAAAGTCTATATCTGACCACATCGCCCCCTGCTTAAAACCCTCAAATGACTTCCGTTACCTGGAATAAAAATCCAAGGTCCTTAGCACAGCCCTAAGGTCCTGGCTCCTGCATCCGATCTTTCCCCAACCTCGGCCTCAGCTCCTGCTGTTCTGGACTTGCTATTTCTCCACTGAGGCAATTCATACCCATCTCAGGACATTCTCCCTGGTCTCTGTAAGGCTGGGTCCTTTTTGTTCAGGTCTCTGCTCAAACATGGCCTTCTCTGACCACCTGATCTAAGGAATTCCCTCTGCCCCACCCTGATCTGCTTTATTTCCCTGACAGCTCCTAGGACTCTTTGAAACTTGGGTATCTACGGTCCTCCTGTCATCTGTTCCTGTTTACTAGAATATAAGCACCATCCTGGGGAGGGGCACAGACCTTGCCTTGCTCACATCTGAAATCCCAGAGTTGACAACAGTGCCAAGCACACTGTAGGTGCTTAAGAATCATTAAATCAATGAACAAATGACACCAGATGAAGAGCCCCCATGAGGGAACAGTGCCATGGCCACCGTGTGCTTTCCTTCTCCAGCAGGGGGCAGTCCTACTGGCCCTTGAGGAAGCCCCAGCCTTAAAAGCCCCACCCACCTTTGTCCAGGTTCATTCACTACAGAAAAACTCAGGGGCAGGGCAGAGGTTGGGGAGAGAAGATGGGATACAGGAGCCAGGACCTTAGGCCATGCTAAGGACCTTCAAGAGGGGGATGCAGGATGGTTCCACTCCAGCCACCAACGCTCCAGAGGAGGTGGAGTGTAGGCATTCATGAAGACAGGGACCAGCTCAGTCCCCCAGCCCAGGCATGGCCTGGGCATGTTATGGGTACTCGGTAGCTCTCTGCTGAGTGAGTGTACAAGTGGCAGGCTTGGGAGAGGAGGATGACTCAGCCCCTCGATTCTAGGGACTTACAGACAAAAAACATAAAAATAGTGATAGAGATTCAAACAAATTTGGAGGGGTAGAACTAACAGGAATGGATGAGGCAGGAATGTCGAGGGAAAACGGGGAACCCTCACTTTTCTGGGCGTAAGCGTGAGCCATGTGAGGGCAGGGAACACGCTGGCCTCATTAACTGTGGATCGTTTTTGCTTCATACACAATCTGGCCTTGAAAATACCAAATTAAAAAACGAAGACACGAAAAAAAATATGAAATGGAGTAGATGGGACAGAACAAGAATGGAAGAGCTAGGAAGGTAGGCGTTTTCCCCCTGCTGTATCCCTGGAACAGCATCTGGCACATAGCATTCCAGAATGATCCACGGAATAAATGAATGTGTAGTTTATGAATTTTGTTAGTTTGTCGTGGTCACTTGAGATCCTAGGGTAATAAATGCTCAACTAATATTTGCTGATGCCTTAAGATGGGTCCATTATTGATTCAACCAACCCATTAACACTGGAGACTGAGTGCTAGGCCTGGCAGTCTGGAAGCTTTTATATAAGCCACATCCATTTTCTTCCTCTCTCATCTTTTCCAGTTTACATCAGAGACCTAGCAGGGATCCAGGAAGTGGTTCTCACCTAGTGGTGATTTTGCCCCACAGGTGATGTACGATGATGTCTATAGACATTTTGGGTTGTTATAGCTGGGTATGGGGAATGCTGATGGTCTCTAGTAGGCAGAGACCAAGGACACTGCTAACAACCTAAAATGCACAGGACGGCCCTCACAACGTCTCTCGCAATGGTCCAGATACAAACGGCAGTAGTGCCAGGCTGGAAAAAACCTGACTCCAGGTACAGTAGGTTCTTTTTGTTTCTGCCAGGTGGACTCTAGCATCATGACTCTAGCATCATGATCCTAAGGTAATAAATGCATTCCAGAATGATCCACGGAATAAATGAATGTGTGCACCAAGAGGGCAAGCACTGCATCTGTCCTGGTCGCCACAGGGAAGGAAGGGCCTGTCCACATGTTTATGGATACTTATTTGATCTACTGTAACCATAACCTGGGAAGCAGAATAGTCTTTCAGCCTTTTTGAACATTTTTTTCTTCCTCAATAGAGGCAAGGCCTGCCTCACCTGGCCCTAAAGGTATACAGCTGCTGCTCCTTCCTGCCCCAGGCACAATGCCATCTGGTGTCCCTTGCCCTGTTTCCTGCCTTCTAGGCTTGACCTGCAAGTTTTGTGGGTTTTGGGGAGAGGATACCACTTACTGTTGATGGACTTGAGGTCCCGGTGGATGATGGGCACCGGGGCATCATTGTGTAGGTAGTTCATGCCCCGGGCCACCTGCACAGCCCAGTTGACCAGCACATGAGGGGGCACCCGACGACCTGCCAGCACCCTACTCAGTGCGCCTCCCCGGGCATACTCCATCACCAGGCAGAGATTTGGGGGGCTCAGGCAGGCGCCCCTCAGGGCAATGATGTTGGGGTGCTGCAGGGCTCCAAAAAGCCGGGCCTCCTGGCGCACCTGCTCCGCTGTCACTGCCGGGTCTCGCTCAGGGTCCAGCCGGGCGGCCTTGACTGCTACCTCCTCCCCATGCCACAGGGCCCGATAGACCTTGCCAAAGCCCCCCACACCGATGATCTCCTCCAGTTGCAGCTCGTGGAAGGGGATCTCCTGGGGCAGCTGGAGGCCCGCGGGCGGGGCGGGTGCAGCAGGGGCCACGTAGTTGCTGGGGAAGACGCCCACACGGCCGCTGGGCAGCTGCCCGGTCCACCAGCCCTCATCGCCAGACACCGCACAGTCCTGGGAAAGCACCTGGACGCGGTCGCCCCTCCGCAGGGTCAGCTCCTCGTCGCCCACCGCCTCGTAGTCGAACACAGCGGTCCAGACGGGCCCCGCGGGGGTCGTGCCCCACTCCTTGGCCGCCGCCCCCTCCTCCTCCTCCATGGGGGAGGGGCGGGGGCTGCGGGAGGCCGCTTCACACTGGCTGCCCGCGGGATGCAGAGGGCGGGCCCGGGCGGCCGGGATGGGGGGCAGTCCCTGCGGGTCCGAAGGGGCTCCGGGGGGCCATAGCTGGGGGAAGGCCTCCGCTGGAGCAAGAAGGAGCCTCTTTAACCGGCAGGGTCGTCCCCTCTGATTCGGCTGTCCGGGCGGAGCGGGTGGGAGCGGGCGGCAGGTTCACCTGTTCCCCTCGGATGTCAGGGCGCTAAGAGGGCCTGGCCGCGCGGCTCCCGAAA